ACACTTGCAACGGAAGCGATTCGAGTATCTCGTCTGACAATAATCGACTGCTATCGGTAATTTTCGTTAAACGTACTAGGACGATTGGTACGGACAATTCCTCTATCGATCGTTAACATATGTACTAGCTATATCATCGAGAAGAAAATGGAAAGAAAGAAATAGAACTGCTCCTTGCAGCTACAGCTTAATTGCTCCTGAAAGTAACGGAACGAACGCTGTAATTTCGAAACGCGAAGTAGATTTTCGTGAAAAAGTGAAAGAGAAACTGTTCGTGGAGGAAGGAAGAGAGCGAAACGAACGGAACAGAAATAGAATTGATGGGTATCCGTAGTTATTTCCCGTCGATTAAACGAAACAATAGCTCGAAACACAGTGTCGATCGTTGCGCTTCGCTGGCTATCGCCGAACCAGTCCCAAGATGCGTTAAATTTTTGATCGAGTGTCCTCGATGGATCTGTACGAATAGAAATAAGAGAGAAATAGACGTGCTGCGAAGGGAGGAGGCTAGGTGTCCCTGGAGCTAGATAACGTACGACGAAGGAACGATGGAGTGTAGACACGAACAGTAGGACAAGGGAATATTGTTTTTTTCTTGGTAGCAGTAGTAGAGGAATTATCGATTTAGGCTAAATTCACGGGACGTGGACTGAATAATTTTGCAAGAATTTTTATTTGAAATGTTCTTCGTGAGAAATGATTCAGGAGGTAACGATTGCAAGGATCGAAATAATGTAAATGTACGAGAAATAATTGTTGTTTACTAGCTTCAGCTGCGTCAATCACGATTAGAATACGAATATGAATACGTGTGGAAATAGTTTCAGATCGGTATTGGTACTCACGACATTAGAGATTTTTTGAAAATTTTTTTCTATGCGCAATTAATTAATATTAATCCAAAACATAGACGGACAAATTGGTAAATTGGCCCTGAGCCAATAGGCACAACGCACACCAAGGCAAAAATAAAATTATAATCTATTATAAAATTTCCTACATAATTTCCGACTTTTAGATAACGTTTGAACAAGGAAAAATTGAGTAAAAAAATCTTGAATATTTCAATGAAAATTATCCTCTTAGTGAAATTATTACAAACGTAACTATGAAAGCGAAGGCATCAGTCGTATCGTGTGGCAATGTAGACTTTATGAAACGCAAAGGGCAAAGCTAAATTACAAAAGTCAAGGTTTCAACTGCCTTTAAATACAAAAATGTTAGTTGCGAAAGCGAATATTACAGCGTGTCTGTATCTTTTCTCTTTTCTAAAGAAATGCAACCTGCAGATCTAGAGGTTTCCTAAATAAAAAGAAAAAATTATTCTCCTCCCAATACGAGGTAACTAAAGAGAAACGCTAAAAATAAAAGGGTAAGTTCGATGAAACAGAAATAATGCAGCTCGTTCGAAGCGAGGCTAAGTAACCATTATAAAGTACAAAGTTGGTAAGAAAATTTGAATAACTAAGGCCGTCACATTGACGAAGGTGCCAATGGAGAAATTGGCACATGGTTCCCGCCCAAAAGATCAAAAACTGGGGCAAACATTTAAAGGTGGGGGAAGTGTCGAGCATCGTCGAGATGGAGGAGCTAAGACGAGGTACTAGCTCTGCGTCAAAGATGAACTATCAAGCTGAGACGAAGCAAAGAATCCGCTGGTAATGTCGTAACAAAGTAGTTCACCCTTTGAGCTGCATTTACCGGCGTCTTGCACAAAGGCATTATTCAAATGCATCACTCCGGTCCTCGCCCCCCTCTATCCGCAAACGACGAATGGAATTTCCAGACATTTTTGCTGTGCAATTTGAGATTAAAAGGTATTCATTGAACGTGATAATACACAGGTAGCTCCACTGAAACTGTGTCTGAAATGTAACGATCGATATTAGGATACGTTGTTCTATTTCATTGCATAGAATTAATTTCTGCTTCGATAGCCCTTGCCAATCTTTTTCAAAGTAAATCTTTGCGCCGTTAGAGAAGGTTTTTCTTGATTTCTAATTTTTCCTATCTCCACCAAGCACATTTTCCCTTCATTTCTAATTTTGACCATCTCTACCTCCATTTTGAGTAATTTTTTCCCTTCATTTCTAATTTTTACCATCACCTCCGTTTCAAACACACCTTTCCCTCAATTTCTAATTTCAACCATCCGCACCTCCGTTCCAAAATTTATTCATTAAAAATCCCTGCAATATACTCTATCTTGCGAAATGAAAACCATCTTGATCCAGTTTTCCACGAACTGTGTACGGGTCTTCGTTCATTACGAATCACCGTAAGTCGCCTAAATAATTTTTCTCCTCTCTACCACAATAGTACTCGACTAATCTCGGCTAAAGAGTGTCGCAAAAATCGTTCTGACCAAGATTGATACGTCTGAATAATCTGTATTTCGATTGGACATTGTACCGTTGACAGGGAATATTTCTTCCGAGGAAAATCCATCCTTATCACCTGCATTTATCAATACGTATATCGCGAAGACACTACGAACAAATCACGTATCGCTTCCGAACGTAATAACAACCGATCGTTTCCCAGAGATATTTGTCCAATTATCTTTGTCACTTCTGCCGGTCGCGCGGATTCATGACAAACGGTACAGCTGACGTGGCAATAAAAAGACTAACCGAAAGATTATCGATGGGTTATCGAATGAAGATGCCGATCTCGCGTTCAGATTATTGCTCGCGATAAATTCACGTACACGATGGAGAAGTTTCGCTGACGCGGAATAAGCAGCTTCCACCCATGGATTTTATTAAGGATAAGAAACTTGCATGTACGTCCATTTTCCAATGGTTCGTTCACAGACTATTGTCGCGTGAATATTAGCGGAAAATGCTGTCGATCCCTGCCGGCGACGAGTAAAAAAGTAGCGCCGGAGTAAATCCCCGAAGCAAGTGGAGAGATGTATCTTATCGACGCGGAGGGAACTTTTTAATTGATTTCAAATGTCTCGATAAATTATTACACCGCGGACTGCACGCTACGAGCAGCTTCGTTGAAAATAATCTCTTCGAAAGTCAAACCTTCGGTTTAAACAAAATCCGAACAAATACATTTTCCATGTAAAAATAACACGAATAAATATTATACGAAAGAAGAGAAAAATTAAAATAAACTTCATCGTATCGACAGCTTTCGACGAAGAGAAATAACGTTTTGTTACGGTTAATAACAAACCAGATTTCCATTTTGTGATTTAGAGTACTCCCGCGTAGAATCGACAGACAACTACTGTGTGTGAAATCTAGTTTCGCGAGAAAGGAAAGAGGACGAACAAAAAATGGTGGGTGTGTTCGGGTAAAAATTTTTGACGGTCGAAATGGAATAAAAAATTCGGCGAGAAGATTTCGAAGGATTAAAACTGTGCGCGTCGAGACAATATATCGAGTTTCTGTTCTATTTGCGGTGACCGCCTGCTCATAACGACGTTGCATATTTCATAACGAGAACAAGCCCGAGGACGTTGGCCTGACGTAGAAAAATGAGAATGGAGTTGTCATTAGCGTGAAACAGGGAAGATCAAACCGCGTTTCGCGCCGTTCTGACGAAATATCCTGATAACGAGCATTCACACGCCTCCTGTTTTGCAATCGATCTCTCGAGTACTGTAATTCAATAATCACGCTCGATTCTACTGATCCGTAATAACTGAAACGATAATAACACGTTCTTTCATACAGAAAGCGTAGAAAAATGCTTATTTCACCATCGATAAATTTCCACGTGAAATCTGATAGGTTCGTTTGCACAAGAATTCGAACGGGAAGATGTGAAATTAATAATCGAATCGACAATGTATTCATCCGTGTTTGAAAAAATGGGAAAAAAGTGAGTCACATTGATCACACTTCTCGCAGAGATAACTTTTGAGATAGATTTAAATACGACGAGAAGGAGGAATTTTTTCGCTGAAACAAACAAAAGGAAAAGCAAGTATCGCGAGTGTAGTTTAATTAAACAGGACGTATAATAGGGAAAAATTACTGGTGCGTGCGAGATTAATTTCGCGATTGGGAAAAATGTTCACCGGTGCGGAATCAAACGAGACTTATAATTGGCGGGAAATCACGGGTACTCGGGCAGAAACGTCCTTTTCCAGCTAAACGTTGACCGTCGGAACTCGTGTTTGCTTATTTCTAATCGATTACTCGCGCCGATTGACCCCGACCGACCGTTTGTACCCAACTTCGAGACGGAATCGAGCCTCTGCCCGGTGCATATAATCGACCGTGATGTCAACTTGGACGGAAAATCAAGTGTCGCCGTTTTCTTCGACCATTACGTCAAATATTTGCTGTTTCCCGGACCATACGCGGACAAATCGGATATCGCGCTGTTGTGTGCTTCGTAGATGAAGGTAAAACAGTGTACCAGTAAAATTGTATCGGGTAACCGTCCTTTTTCCTACAATTTCCCAAATACATACTTACATAAAATGTTAAGAAATTACAAATATTTAGAAAATTGATATTCGTACAATTTACTATCTCGAAACAATTTATTTTTGAACTTTGCTACTTGAGCCTAAGTTAAATTGACCAAATTATCGAGGCAACCTTACGTCGTCAAATATATTGTTCCTGAACTGTAAAATCTGAATTTTTCGGTAAAGAAGAAAAGCATTGTTGATTAATACAAAATCACACTTGTATTAATTTCATGCACCACTTAAAAAAAAAGTAAATATAAATAGCACAATTGTGGATAAAAAATGATTTTCCTCTTTCCTGAAAAATTCAGTTTCTGCAATTTCACAAATTTACTATTGGAACGACGACATATCCACATTACAAGATTTTTACAATCTTTGAAAAAAAGAAACTTCTTTCGACGAAGACACAAATAAATAAATTTCACACTATAAAAAAAGGGAAGAATAAGGGAAGTTCCCGTTTTAGAACGACAAACACAGTTTCACCGGGTTAATAGCTAGAGTCTGTTTCCGCAGGCTTGAGATCGGTGACTTAATTAAAGTAATTACAGAAGCGATGGACTCGCGACAACGCTATCTCGAGGAGCAATTGCAAAGAAGAGAATCGGAAACCTTGGAATTGCGTCGAAACCTCCGCGAACTGGGGACGAAGTTTTTCCAGCTCGAGCGAGCTTTCGAAATCAACTTGCGGTCGCAGACCCACCGGGAAGTTCAGTTTAATCGTATGAAACTGGAAAGTGAAGGTAAGTCGCGACAGAGGTTTTGCTTTCTCAAACGATAGAATTTTTCACAGGATGTTTCGACTAATTCTTCTGCTTCTACGAATTTCTAAAATTTAGAAATTTATATTTTACCTTGAATAATTGACAATTTAAAAACCAGAACAATCCCTATCGAGAAATATGTATGCTTCTTTGCGAAACTCAATTTCGGCGATGTCTAACTCGCGAGAACCAATTTCGATCGGTCGTGACAACATCGTCGTTACAAGATTCGTTTACGATGCCACTGGAATTACAGGATCTAATTACAGCAACATAAAGCTTGCATGATAGAATTATAGAGATTAACGAGTTTCCATCTTCCGTAGTGTCGAAAACAAAATTTCCTCTCGACGACAACCATGTACGAAGCCGAATTTTTCGGCAACTTCAAACTCGAGGAACTTCGCTGCAACAACTTCTTACATAAAGCCCGATTACCATAACTTTTGTTATAAAATCCGAAGAAGGCCGGGAACACGGTGATTGATATTTTGATCACGTTTTACGATGCCACTTTCTTGGGAATCACCTATCAAAATAGGAACACCGTACCTTAATCTCCAGGAAGACAGACATTTTCAGGGCAAATTTACCAACTTCCCCTCTTTCGATGGTAAATTTATAAAGAAAAAAAGTTACTTCTCTCGATCAGTCCGTGTGTGTTTACTTTTGACGCTCTCATCGTAAGCGTGTTCCTTTCCGTAGAGATAACGGAAGTAACGAAATTGCGCTCTTTGTACGCTCGTTTGCGATAGAACAAAGACGTTGCGCGTTCTGAATCGTGGCAAATATTATTTGCCTGATCACATCATGCTTTTCCGTCGTTAACGTAACGTAAATAATAGAGCACCGGGGGGATTTCGCATCAAGTCGCATTACTCGAACACGAGGGACCTTCCGGAAGTTCTGCTCCACTTGTTAACGCTAAACAGGCAGCCGCTTACCTCGAGTACCCTCAAATTATCTCGTTCGAATTACCTCGAGTATGAACTAGAGACATGTTTATCCCGTCCAAGGACCGAGAATTTATGAAATCTAACGTGACCGTTTGCCTCGTTACGCTTCATCTAGACTTTTTAGAAATATTTACAACGCTTTAGTTCTTAGTTCGAGAACAGAGGACTGTGCACCGTGTCAATTTTTTTCTTTTTTAAAGTAACAATAAATCAGATGGAAATGATGTTTTCCTTAAATATATGTAAGTACATGATTTCGTGGCTATTCTAATTATGTTTATCGCACAAATATACACGTGTGAGTTTATTGGTAGTGTTGGTAGCTTCTAGTCCATCGTGCTTAAAAGATTAAATCAGCATTTCCACTTTCAAATACTCCATCCAGAGCAGAATTTCTTTTTTCATCGCTTTCCCTGCCGTCTTATGCTATTGAAAACAGGTACGTGATTATTCTATCTCCACTCCGGTTCAATTCGCTTGCTTCTGCTCAAAGACGCAATTTCGCTGAAAAATCCCTGCTAGTTTATACTGGCGAGAACTACATATATATATATAACTAACCAACGAGTTTCGCCTGGAAGAAATTTCGTCTTGTTTGATTTTCCTTGCGTACATCTGGAATCCCCTTATTGCATACAATTTCGACGTTTAACATTTTTCTAGTCGGTATTAACTCTTCTTTTGAGTATACCTGTTTCTTTTTAATCATACTTGAAGTTTGACCTGCATATGTGGTTTAACTCTGATGCGTTTTTCCATTCGACTGTACTCAGAAAAGACCCAAAAAAGAAGGTGGGTCAAAAAAGACCCGAAGACAACACTAGATAGGGTTGATCTCTAAATTTCAAATTTTGACAGCATGAAACAGTAATTTTAATGCTTCAAATAGCCGTAACATTTGAAAGAGCGAGAATGAAAAGCTTTTCATCTCCTTTCAATGTCGTTGGAGAAACGAGAATTAGATTGGGAGATCTATAAAGTATCGAATTAGGTGTCTCGCTTGAAAGTTTCCAAACAGCACTAATTTTATATTGGAACACGATGAACGAGTAATGAATATAGCCGTCTAAAAAAGTTAACTGATAACAAACGCGATGTGGGACTGGTAAACTAACGTGAAACTGATTTTCTCGCAGAGCTTCGCAAACTTAATGGCGAGACGGTACGAGCGAGAACAGAACTGAACTCGAGATTAATGAATGCAATAACTGAGAGGGATCATTGGAAAAACGCTTTTCTTCGGCAAGGAGAATTTATTAAAAGGTAGGTTGCAAGCAATCACATTTAAGCTCGAATAGTGCTTCCTTCCATGCGGTGGCCTTTCTTCTTGAAGCATTATAAGATTGACTGAACACTCTGCCAGCGTTAGCGAATTGTTCAAAAGTATCTACGCTTAATTAAAAGTTCAATTACAATCAAATTAAGCGAAACAATCTGTCCTTTGCCGAATTGAAACACACTTTTGTCGTTATATCGGACCTAGATTCTTCGTTAACGCTCCAAGAAAAACCATTAAAAATCCTTTCTGGAAAATATTTCTTCAGAAAGTTCTTGCACAAAATACTACTTTCTAATTAAAAATTCAATTTTACATTTCACACTTTTTTAAATTAGTGCTTAGATTTAGATTGAACAAAGTATAACGAAACAGCAAATCGCCCTACGTCTTCGTAACTGAAAGAAATTCGCCTGTGAAGAAGTTAATTAACATCGACAGCATGAGAAACTAGGCTCCCGTAGAAATTGAAAAGAATCCGCTTTTAAATCTAATCTTTGACACACACAAAAACCGCCGCATTCTTCCCGAGCACCGAAGAATTTCAATCTCAGTTTCACGGTCCGACAGAAGTAATCAGAGAACCGATCGAAACACCGTCGATCCATTGAATCCTCCCTCTAACACCCCGGGAGATCCGTTGAATTAACGTCGCAATTCTATGGACTTCTAACGCGTCGAAGACGAATCTCGAGCCTACGAGGTCGGATAAGATTAATTAACATTCGACGCATACGTTCACGTGGCCGCGTTACGTTCACACGGCTGGCGATCCCGTTTCCCATTAATCTCGATTAGCCGATGAATCAAGGGAGCATTTTTCGTCGATGTAGAAAACGGGGGGTGTAGAATTTCGAGGACGAGAAATGGCGCACAATGCATCGGTATTCGATCGGTCGAGAATTCATGGAGAAACCCAATTGCGGATTTCCAGGGATATATGCCGGTTATCGGTGTGAAAAATGCATCGGACGAATGTTTGCACTTGCTCGTTTACCCGACATCTTTACGTGGAAGTTTAAGCGTCACGCTGATTTTGCTCTGATCGCATTCTTGTCGGAAATTCGAATTTTTAATAGGATCGCGTGTGAAACTTTATACGAAATCGGTAACGCTATTTTTCGCGACTGTGTTCGTGACGTACGAACTCGTCGGTGCAATTTTTAATCGACGAATCACTGTTATTCTTAGTATTTCTTTTTCTTTCTTTCATTCGTTCGTTCGAAACGTTTCGATGATGAATCGGTTAATCAGCACCACGGTTCTTGTAAAAAGTATAAATTTACACGGAACGGTGATAAAGCGCCGGATTATGTGCTTACGAACAGCGAACTAACCATTAGCGCGATTATGGAAATTTAATGGCTTATTTACGTCGCATAGCTGCGTGCAGCGCTGATTAATTCGCTATCGGCGGATTATTACACGCCAGGCGCATCCTCGAGGAAATACCGTGTACAGAGTTACACGAATCTGTCTTCTAAATCCGTGCTGTAATTGGAAAATTCACGGAGTAACGTCGTCTCAATTGTCCGCGTCAAATGCAGTCTCGATCGAACAAAGAACAATTACCAATCGAACGAGCAACTTGAAGAGAAGTCGCGTCTACTTGCTGTAACATTCGTTTACTCAATTTCGTAGAATTCAAACGAAATTTCGTCCAGTTGAAATTGCCCAAGTTCTCTAATTAATCCCTCATTGTTTACCTGTTCTCTCTCTCTCTTTCTTATACCTCTGGCTACAGAAAATTCGTCCAGCTACTCGAAGAAGTGTCGTTCCTCTAATGAAGAAAGTATCTCATTGCTTCTTTTCCCTGTTCACGCCTCCAGAATTCCTCGTCCTTCCGTTCAGATCCTCCGGATGCTCCGTGAAACACTTAATTATAAACGCGTATAATTAACAACGACTACCACGTTTACGCAATCTTTTTCAGCTTGCCCCAGATCCTCTCCCCCGTGCGCCTAAACGAGTCCATTCGAGATTTCTTAATTAACGAGCGCACCTCTCGCGCTTACTTCGAAGGGAGAGGGTTGCGGATCCAATTCCACGAGCTTCGAGTTTTCTTCGGCCACGAAGGAGCTCTGTAATTTGCGCGTCGACCTACGGTCACGTATCCGCGAATTTACAGCGTTGTTTGCCAAGAGAACCGTAAAAGTATACCGAACGCAGCCGCGGCCGTCGTCGATAAACCTGGCCAAGCCTCTGTCGTCCGTTTTTCTCCAACCGTTTTTTTTTTTTCCCCTCCTCCACCTCTTTCCCCTGATCGATTTACGCGGCCGTCTGGTCGATTCTCGAGCGAGAAATACAGTATCATTCGTCGCGCGTTCTCGCTGTAAATTGTTGTCAATTATCGGCCACGGCGAAGAGTTATGCGACCGATCGATGGCCACGATCTAACGCACATGCCGGAGCTTTTCATACGGCGCTTGAAAACCGGGTCAAGTTGCTAGCAAGTGTCGCGGCTATTTGGAACGACGAGAGAATACAGATAAAGGATTTAACGGAATCTTTTACAACGAACATTTCTCTCGCGTTAATTGCGAATTAACAAGAGTCACGTGTATGGGATGGCATGAAGTTCGAGTTGGGTTTTAAAGATAGTGTGGGAAGGAAGAACGAAAAGATGTTAACGAGGGAGTAAGAAAGGCGCAACATAGGTGCATACATGAATATTAACGGAGGACGTTAACCACGGGGATATTATCGTTTTATTCCACGCAAGGATTTACGCTCGAAAGTCACGAGCGGGAGTAGTTGTTCCCGCATATGCTCAACCATACTCACCATGGAACTCTCCTAATTTGTGTTCTAATGCTGAATACCGCGACCCTTGGAGCACCACGAGCATTAATAACCCAATGCGTATTACAACTTCACCGAACGAACCTCTTCTCGGTTCTCGGCTCCGTGTAACTTATCGACTTATCAGATTACGGTCTGCGAACGAACAACTGTTCCACCCAGACTCTACACGTACGTATTTAAACGCTGGTATTAATATTAAACAAATTTCAGTTCGCCAGCACTGAGAAACTTTGATTATTATCGAAAAAAGAAAAGGAAATCTAGCCGAAAGGAGAGAAAAAATGTAAATATTTGATTTCCTGGTGAATATAAAGCAAGAATTTGATCTCCTTAAAGAAGCCCTCGTTAAAGATATAGTCGAACGGCGGCGATGTATAAAGGAGATATTTTCGTTAGTACAGCGTTTACCAAACAATCCAGGAAACCGGAGTGAAGGTTTAAAATGATAGGAAAAGCAATTCGCTTGAAAACCTGACTGCTTCAAGAGTTCCCCTCTTTAATGGTAAATAAGAAAGAAATTGTTTGCCAGAGACACATTATACTGTTTGTAGAAAGATGGAAAAGCTTTACGAGCAGCGCTGACTAATGTACCGGGTGTCTTGAAATCAAATGCTTCGTAATAAGAGAAAATTGGAGAACCCATCTTCGTTCTCTGAGAGACATTCTCCTCCTATCTCTGTTGCATTTGTATTCCCTTTCACAGCTCTCTCTCTCTCTCTCTTGTGTTTCGCTACAATTAACCTAACTTCTCGCTTGAAAAAACCCTGATATACCAGCCAAAATTCCAGGGAATAGTAATATTTTCACGCGAGTATTTTCCCCTATTCACGCAAAATTGGATGTCCAACCTCTGTACCCTACTAAATTTTCCAATACGCTTTCAACTTCGACTTTCAAATTTACATTCCAATCGTAACAGCAAGAACACACTCGAATTAAGGTTTCTCTTATCCTAATGGACGAAACTATCGCAACAGCTAAAAATAACCGCGTTGGAGCTTAGAAGAACGTTGATATTAAGAGTGATAACTGTAATCACGATGAAACGTGGCGCACGTTACATTGTCGTACGGAAAATGTCCGCCTTATCCGGCACCATGTGCCTTTTCCGAGTGTAATGTCGGACCAAGGGACAAATTACACGAATCCATCCAGCTCTGCTGTCGGTAACGGAGTCGACAAACAGATGTAGCACGTATACATGCTCAGACGAGCATCGAAATTTCTCTTCTCTATCTCGTTCGAACTTTACCTGCGGATACTCTTTTTACCAAAGAGGATAATCAACGTCTCTAACTGTAAAATTGTACAGGAAAGTTTGGCTGTATGTTTGATTCGAGGACAAAAGTTATTCTCGTTCATCCGTCAAACGGAAGAAACAGCATTCGTCGTGTTGTAACACGAAAATGTAACAACGTTCGAGAGATGAAACAGTAAAACACGATGCCACGTGGTGGTCGTAGCGTATCTGCGAACGATAAATCGCGCTCTCGATGTTCTACACGAAAAAGGGGGTCACCGTTTTGATTCGCGACCCGATATCGCTTCGACGTCACGGAATTAATACGTCCGGTCGTGTAAATTTTCGAGGAGCGTCATTGGATCTGGTTCGAGATAAAAAGAACTGATCAGATTCCTGGAGAAATAAATCGATCCAGAAGAACCTATTTCGGTTACATGAAAAAGGAAAGAACAGTCCAATTACTAACGACGTTACAGAATTATTACTCTTTTCACTATCGAATGCTGCATTTTTTCACTCCCAAATATTAAACAAAATGAAGATTTTCTCTGGATATCAAACCCGGATACGCTCAGATATTTTATCGTACATTACAACTGATCTTCTGAACTTTTCACTATCGAAAGCTCCATTTTTTTCACTCAGAAAAATTAAATAAAATAATTTTTCAAGATTTTTGAATAATTCATAAGTAACTAAGATTTTCCCTCGATTATAGATACACTCAGATTCGACTGCGCTTTAATCCATCCCTGACAATGAGAAATTCTCCCGTTTCCACATTATCATGATAAGAACTTGAAATTTCATTATCATAAGAAGGAATATATTATTCCTATTGAAATATCACGTAACGATATGAAATTACAAATTTGACGGCCGATGGTTTTCGTAATCGCGCTTTAATTTCGTATTCACATTGCGGCTTTCCAAGTCGAA